CAGGTTATCATGCACTACATCTGCTCAGGTTCCATACAGTTTCTATGGAATGGGAAGCCATTAAGGAGTTTACTCCCTCAAGAGGCATTCGTCAGGGCAACCCCCTTTCACCTTGCATTTTTGTGTTATGTATGGAGCGTCTCTCCCAGTGTATTGATTAGTTGGTTGGTAGTGAGGTTTGGCATCCTATCTTTCTAAGTAAGAGGGGACCCAGGTTATCACATCTCTTTTTTTCGAATGACTTGATCTTCTTTAGTGAGACTTTAGACAGTCAGGCGCAGTTTATCAAGACGGTTCTTGCCGAATTCTATGAGAGCTTCGGACATAAAATCAACATGACCAAAACTCATATCTTCTTCTCTCACAAAGTTACTGATGGTGAAGCTCACCGTATTAGTTCAACCTTTGGGTTTCAGGTTCTAGGAATCTAAGCACTTATTTAGGCGCCTCTCTGCTCTATGGTAGGGGTCACCAAGGATACCTACAAATACATTCTTCAAAATGTGGGGAGAAGTTGTATGGGTGGAAGGCTACTAGTCTATCCATGGCTGTCACTTAACGTTGGCCAAGTCAGTACTTATGGCTATCCCCGCTTACGCTATGTAGACCACCATCATCCACAGCTCGCTCTGTGATAAAATTGATCGGTTTGTACATGACTTGATATGGGGGTTTTCTAATAATGTAAAAAAAAAAAAAAAACGAACCTTGTTAATTGAAAAGATATGTGTCGGCCTACCACCCATGGGGGAGGTGGTATTCAAAGCCTCAGATCACTGTCGATGATGGTACTAGAGCGAGATTCTGGGAGCATAACTAGCTAGGGGGCTGTGGTCCTCTCAAGTTTCTTACTTTCCGACCTATCGATGATACCCATGGGGTAAAAAACGTTAGGGATCTGATGACCCTGAATGGTCAGTAGGACTAGAACCATTTGCAGAGTAGGGTCCCAACTAGGATCCTTCTTCAGTTAGCGACTGTCAAAGTCCCATAAATATGGTGGTGGATGCCTTGTATTTAGGTCTTTCGTTTTATGATAAGTTTTCTGTTAAATCCACTTATAGTATGCTTACTGACATCTCTCCTCTTTTTATAGATAGCAGGTGGAATTTAACGTAGAAGTGGTCGGGTGCACAACGAATTTGACATTTTCTCTGGCTAGTCTTGCGGAAAGGCTTATTTACAAACGAGGAGTAAGTATGCAAACATATGACAGATGATCCGGTTTGCACTGTCTGTGAACTTTGGATTGAGGACATTAATCATGTCTTGAGGGATTGCCACCATGCGAAGGGTCTCTAGCAGAAGATCATTCTGTAGACAGCCGATCATAGCTTCTTCAACACATATTTTGATGATTAGTTATGTGCTAACTTGTAGAATAAACATAACTGGTGTTCGTCATTCCAAGACTGGAAAATTGTGTTTGGCATCATTTGTTGGCTTTTTTAGAAGCAGTGCAATGCGTTCGTTTTTTTGTGGGAGGCCCCTTAGCTTAGAGGAATTGAAGTACGAAGTTTTCAGATTGACTAAGTATACGCTCCAGGTTTATATCATTGAGTCTACTATCTTTAGCCATCACGCCCAGAAGAAGGAGAAGCTCATCAGTTGGACACTGTCGCCCAAGAATTAGATCAAGATCAACGGAAAGTTTGATTGAATTTTTCACCCAAAAATCAATATTCTAATTCTCTTTTCTAATAATTATATAAAATATTATTAAGCTTTAATTAAAAAATAAATTTATTTTTCAATTTATTCTTTAATCTTTCAATTTTTACAGATAAATTTTTAATAATTGATTGATTCTTAATTTATCAGTTGAAAATACATATATCTTCATATATCATTAATCTTATGACAATCATATATATTATAAAAACTTAATAATACAACTATCACATAGATTAATATATTTTATGTTGTTTCAGAAGTTTGAGTCTCATTTATTAAAGACTATATTTCAGGTTTTGTGTGAATCTAATATACGTATAACTGATAATATAGCTGTCACTTGGTGATGATGTGCAAAATATATTTTTTTTAACATAAAAATATACTAAATTAACAATTTATAAGAAAAATATAAAAACTAATGACTTAAGAAAAAGTTCTGAACCAGCTTAAAAAAATGAATAAAAAGATCAAAGACTTTTTATAATTAATCTATATTATTTAGCAACATATAAATATATGATTTGATGTATTCAAATATTTAATTAGTAATTATGTATATAATAAAATTAAATTTTTAATATTTTATTCCATTTCAATTTTTTACTTGGAAAAAATTAAAAACTATTTAAAAAAAATTTAGAAATTGAACTATTAAAACATTAACATTATAAATTTATTTCAGACGCATAATTTCATCCAAATAATAACCCAAAAAAAAAAGTGAGATAATCTTAGAAACAATTTAAAAGATAAGGTTTAGTAAGTTCAAAATTTGAAAAATTAAAAAAGAAGAGCTATCAATTAACAATAACCAACACATAACAATGTCATTTATACTCTGTTTTTCTCAATTCCATGAGTTGGACCTTTTCTTGTTTATTTGGCATGCAGAAAATTTGAACCCAATGCTCTAATCAACACTGGAATTTCATTTATGACTACTGCACAAGTCGACAGGTTCTATTGTGGTTTCTGGATTTGCACTAACACTTGTACAAAATTAAAGAGTTAAAATAGGAATAACTTAAAAAATATTTTGATGGTCTTCTCTGGTGCGGCGGTCTTCTACGGTAGAGTATCTTCTCTCCTCAACCAAGACCATCGTTTGAACAAAAAAGTGAAGATCTTCTCTCTCGACGGTCTTCTCCGGCACGGTGGTCTTCTTCAGCGCGGCGGTCTTCTCCAGCCCTATGGTCTTCTACGGCAGACGTGGTGCTCGTCCACACGGCAACGCAAACGGGTGCTCTCTCTCTCCCTCAAGTGAAGCCGAAGGTGGTAGTCACCTTTCAACATTTTTTCTTTCCACTCCTCCGCACAGGCAACGAGTTTCCCACTCTCTCAAGTTTGGCTTTGTTCGTGCAAGTGAATCTGCAAGCTTTCTGCACCTTGCTCATTTTTTTTACACTCTCTCACGCTTCCTCTGGGCTGCCTCAAGAAGTGTGATGTTCTAGAAAATTATTGTTTTCTTTTTTTTATTTAAGTCACGGACTCAAATCTTTTAATATCTTTTTCTTTTTCTTTTTCTTTGTTTTATTTTTTTCTTTTTCTGTTTAAGTCAAATTAATTTTATGTATTTTAGCAAATAACTTAAACTTCTTCTGTTATAACATGATATTATAGTTTTAAAAATGAGTGTATACAATTCATACATAATATTATAAAATAAATTTTACCCAAAAAATATTATAAACTAAACTTTAACAAATGATAAATGTCAACAATTAATTTAATAATTTTATTTTAAACTTAATAATAATAATAAATTATTATGATGCCCCTTATTTATTAGGAAAAATTTCATGGCAATCTTAATAATTTATTTAAATAATATTTATATATTAAATGAATGAATAGTTTATATTAATAAAAGATTATTTGCTTACAAATTTAACTAACACTTGCTAAAATTATTTTTCTTCAAGGGTTCAAGATGGAGAAAATATTTTATTTTTAAGATAAACTTTGTTTTAAATAATTTTTATCAATATCAATTATTAATTCATTTAAGAACTTCCATGTATGGTATTATCATCTAATAAATAAAATATGGACAAAAATTTTGCATTATTTATTTCAAAACTTTAAAAGTTGTATAAAATTATTGTAGTCGAAATCATTTTATATATTTAAAAAACTAAATTTAAAAAAAAAATTATAAAATCTAATTGTAAAATGACAAATAATTCAAAAACTAAAATAGTCATTTGCTCTTGAATTTAACATACACATTTAATAGAAACGATTAAAGTGTATAATAATTTGTAAACAAGTGAAATTTTTTTATTCAATTTTTTAAAATAAAGTGGGTCTTATATCAAATTTCAAGTGATTTCTTTTTTTTTTTAGATACAAAAAAAAAGACAAACACAATAAAGCAGAACATAAAACACGATTAGATATTACACATTCTAAACTAAAAGACCCCAATGATATCCTCTATAATGATGTTCAATAGTTTCATAAGAGGGTGTTGTAAGTGATATGATTCAAGAGATAAGTAAAATGTTTGATTCGCCAAATAATTAATACACTGATTTCTTTCACGATAAATATATTGTATCTTAATAATTTAATCTTTTATAAATTAAATTTTAATAATCAGAATAATGTTAGAATTAACATTAATATATATCACTTCATTATTCAAAATTTTATTAAAGACTTGAATGGCAAGAATATTATCCATATTTAGAATAATATAATACGATTCTAGGTTTCATACTATCGCAAGGCCATCCTAGACCTTCCATAGCTCAACTTGAAGGACAGAGCAAACGCCACTATTCTTGAAATGCCTCCCAAGCCACTTAACATTACTGATCACAACAACACATGCAATCTCACTGTTACCTAACAAGCATTATAAAAGATGTAGAAGGTAAATCTTGGGTCACAATTTTTTTTAAGTATTATAAAATATTAAGATTATATGTTTAGGAAAATGACATACACCATACAATTTAATTTGGAGTTATTTATAAAAGAAAGGAACTACTTTGTTTTAATAAGTAAAGCTTTTTTTTTTTTTGTACTCAATAAATATATATATATATATATATGTATTACTCAAGTATGAATTTTCTCAATTAGAAAAAGAAATTGTATGAATGACATTAGCACCTTTAATTGTAGGCTGGGACCTGAAGGTCACTTTTGTAACAAAAAATTGTAAATAATGATATTAACACCTTTAATTTGATTTTTAATTGAATGTGTTAAAACTTAAATGGGAATATATATATATATATGTGTGTGTATAAAATACACATTATTATTTATTTTTTTAACAGTGACCTGATTGCTTTCAGTCTATTATATGTCGGCTTGTTCAAATAAACAAAAAAAGCTGTCTCTCTGCTTTTGCTTTGCTTTTTGTTTGGCCTCTGAATTCCCGGCGACAAGTCTGTTTCCTCTCATCTTGATACCGGTGTCCAACTCTCTTCTTCTCATTTTCTCCATTTGCCGCTCATATTGACCTCATTTCTTTTCTTTTCTTTTCTTTTTCTTTTTTTTTGCAAAAATTAATCAAACTTTTCTTTCCCCTCCCCATTATTTTTTGAAGGGAGAAGTTGTTTTCACCTACTGCTGGGTTCATGTGATTTTTGTTTGATTATTAAGTTCAGGAATTCGGATTTCGAGGTGGAATTGGGATTGGAAATGGAATCTACTGTGTAAAGCGACGTTTTGTTGGGTGCTTTTTTTGTTGGCTGATTTGAGAGTTTCAGCTTTTGAAAAGAACAAAACTTCTGATCTTTTGAGTTAATTCTTTTGTATGGAATAGTTCCCTTCTGTGGAAATATTCTGCGAATCGGAGCTGGTAGCTGAGCTATGGCTGAAGAAACTTATCAGAAAGGAAACTTCTGCGCTCTGTTTCTCGTTTTAAGTTAGGGTTTTAGTTTATTGAACGGAAATGGAGAGCTTATGTACTGAGAATCGAAGGTTTTTCTTTTGAAGAACGGGGTGGATATCTTAGGAGAAGATATCTGATGGTTATTGGAATTTGGTTCAAAGCTGAACCTGAGTTTCTGATGGAAACTGTGTGGTAAATGTTAGTAGTATCTCCGGGAAGAAGGCAGGTGATAGAATCTGTTCAGAAGTTTTAATTTTGAATATTCTGTAACCATGAAGGCTCCATCTAATGGGTTTTTGCCAAATTCTGGAGAAGGTGCGGAGTCCTAACTTAATTCTTTCCTTTAATAGTCTGTCTGCTTCATAAATTCCGGTGAACTCGTTAAATTCGTATGTGCTTGACGCCTTTAATGCCGTTTCTGAATGCTCATAATGCTGATTTAGAAAGTGTAACACCTCATTTTTATTTTTAAACGTTGGGTCCTCTACTGACGAGAGTCCCCTTCGTCTTCGTCCACTGAAAGCTTATGTCTTTCCTGAGTTATAGACTTGTTCTTCTTTGGATTTGTGTCAAAACTTGGTTGTATTCACCTGAACTAGTTTGCCAAAGGCACTTAGTTGAGTATGTAAAGTTTGTATATTCTACTGCAACGTGATATAATAGCTGGGTAGACTGATATGTATTCACCCGATCTGGAGTCCTGGTAAATATATATGCTTGTTGTCCTTATTGATTACCTAATAAAGGTGGTCTATAATTTTCCCAAACGGATGACTTATGCAGCTCAACCTTTCGTAGTAGTTAATTGTTTATTTTTCATATGGCCATATTCTCTTGATTCTACCAAAACTTTTATATTTAGATTTGGTCGGTGTTTGGACCAGTTGTAATTTGTGCTAGGAGTTTTAAAAGTGTTATTAAAATAATTGTTCAGTAAAAATGCTTGTAGTAAATAGTTATAAAAGAAACTCTCACTTTAAAAACGCAGAAGCTATGTGTTTGATGAAATTAACTTGTAGAAGCTTAAGTAAAAATTTTTAGTAAAAGCCAAAATTATTTTCTAAAAGCTACATATTGTAACTTTTGACTTTAAACTTCAATTTGATTGTTACAAAAAAACACTTTGATTTACCCACTTGGTTATAAAAATGCTTTTCCAACGCGAAAACTAAAATTAGAAGCTGAGCCGGACACCTTCTTCACTTTCAGTTGCATATGTATTGCCCCGTGCTTGTTCATTTTAGTGTGAAAGCTTTGTTTGGTATATTTGTCACCATATTGTGCAAGAAAGTATTTTTTCTTAAATTGAAATATGCACAAAAACATATCTTTTTCATTAAAAAACTTTCTGGTGAAGTTTGATTTTTTGTGCATTATGTACTGTTATATTGGTATCTAGTAGAAGGTCTTTCATTCAACTCTTGTTGCATAATAGATTGCAGGATTATCTATTATTTGTCAACATAGGGTGGAAACACAAGTAATCTGTTCTGAGTTAAAAACAAAAGTAGCCAATTGAACTGTGCTCCAGTTCCTTGAATGTTATGTTACTTTTACTGTCATGAAGGAATTGTGTCTTTTTCTTCTGTCATTATAGAATTATAAGACCAAAGATTTACAGATTACATTACTTTCCTTCTTTTGAAGAATTATAAATTTTTGGGTTTTGTTTGTAAGTGATTGCTTGCTGCTTGTTTGAAAACAGGAGAGAGAAAAAGTATTAACTCAGAGTTATGGCACGCATGTGCTGGACCTCTGGTTTCTTTACCCCCCGTGGGAAGTCTGGTGGTTTACTTCCCTCAAGGCCATAGTGAGCAAGTAGGTTGCTTTGTTGTCTTCATTTGTTCTAGAAGATCAGTTATTTCTGAATTCTGCTTCTCAAAAAAATTATTTCTGAATTCTGATTTTGTGGCGGAATTTTCTTGTTCATAACTTTCAGGTTGCAGCATCAATGCAAAAAGAGACTGATTTCATACCCAGCTACCCTAATCTTCCTTCCAAATTGATTTGCATGCTTCATAATGTGACATTGCATGTATGATTTCAACTTCCATGCAGACTATTTTCCGTAATAAATATAACATTTATCATATGATTGCTAATTGTTAAATCTGTAACGAGTCAGTTGCATATCTGTGCCATAGTTATCAGGATGACTCAACCTCCTTGCAATCTATGTACTGAATTTTTTGAACTGGTTTGTGGTACAGGTCGATTGGATTCATTTTGGTTCTTAATCCGGATCTCTAAAGTTAAGGGCCAAGAATTAGGAAGAAATAGGGGCAATTGGTATTCTAGGATTCTAAACACTGAGAGGAAAGAGGTGTGCAAAGAAGAGTAAAAAGTTTATATCTAACAACTTCCTCTTAACTTGAGATTAGTTGCAGGGGGAAAAGGAAGAGGTAGGGTCCAAGTGAAGGGGAGGGATCCATGAAACAACATTTTCTTTCTTGGAACTTAATATATATTGGTGATTTTCTTTGAGAACCTTTAATACATTATCTCAGTTTGTTAGGACTTTGTAACATGAGTATTGATATTCTTGTTTCAGCTATAAAAAAGATCTGAAAACCTTAGACTCTTCTCATAGAAAAAGAAAGAACTAGTGGAGCAAAATAATGAACCTAATAAGAGGTTTATTGGAACTTCAAATCAAAGTTATGTACTATGTCTAATATGTAGCCCTTTTTATAATCTCTGCATTCAACCATGGTTCTAGTGCAAGTCGCATGCATTTTTCAGGAAATCTTGATTCAGGAACACATAATTCTCTAAAAGTAATGAGGAAAACTGCTCAATAATAAAGAAGAGTTACGAGACCATTTGGATCATCTTTTTTTTTTCTCCTTTTGTGCTTTAAGTCTGTATGGCTTTTAGTCACAATGAGCTTTAAATTCATAATGCTTTAAGCTTGAAAAGTGTTTGGATAGTTGGTTTCATTAACTGATTTTTAGAGTTTAAAAAAGCTTTTCAAAACTGTGTTAAAATTAGTTGATTTAAGCAAAGTGTCAGTAAAATGACCAAAAAGACAACTACTTGTTCTTTTAATTACAAAATATCTAAGTGTTTTTGTTGTGCCAAAGATGCTTTAAAAAATAAGTCTGTCAACACCAAAAGTTTATTTTTAAATTATTAAAGTATTAAAGTATACCATTTGGATATTTTCGACTTTTTGCATAAGTGTTAGTCATGTTTCTCTTGAAATATTAGTTATGTTTAGTAGGTAGAAATTGATAATTAAAATTCTTAACTGAGAGGTAATGGTATGGTTGTAATCTTTTATTTTGATTTATGGCATGGTGATTTAAAATGAGGATCAAAGTGACTAAAAACTTAAAATATAAAATGCTGGTCCCAGGAGCTTCATATTTTGAGCTAAAAGCTCATTGGCTTTTAACACTTTTGTTCATTCAAATATTTTATGATCTTCTTTTAGGCTAAAATGTGCTTGAGTACCCACCCTTGACCACAAAAAAAGCAAATTTGAACGCTTACTTAATGATAGAACTTACAATCATTTTCTTGATGTGGTAAAATAATTACATTATCCATATTTGACTTAGGCTGATCCTGAGACAGACGAGGTCTATGCACAGATGACCCTTCAACCTGTAAACAAAGTAGGTCTGCCACTTTGCAATTTGGATTTTTATTAATTTATTTGTTATCCATATGCAACAATTCAGAGATTCATTGTCTAAAAGATCTGTGTACAGTATGATAAGGATGCTCTGTTAACTTCTGATATGGGGCTGAAGCAAAGTAGACAACCGGCTGAATTTCTTCTG